AAACTGGTCCAAAACGTGTTCATCGTTCAGTAAGTCCATCACCTGACCAACGGGATATATCTCAACAATAAAGAACGGAAATGAATGTTGTGACCCGGCTCTATATTGTGACACTAGAATTATTGAGTTATTGCGACAACAGCTGTTTCCCGGAATCGTGCCTCATGATCAATTGTAAAATTGAAAAACTCATGATTAAATTACTTGCTGGTTGAAGTTATATCAACGTTGCACCTTTAAAGTTTCAACTTTCCGCACTATACTCATTTCTGTTATACACAATGTACCTACACTTACCCTAGTTGTGCAAAGGGGAACAGCTCTCAATCAACTGCAAACAGTTAGCGTGAGTTAATTTCTTTAGAATGAGCGTCACAATGTTGGTCCAAATTGCATTTTTATTGCTAATTTGATCTCAGTAGAAGGGAAAACACCGTCTGAAAACCCCTCCTTTTCCTTGACCCAAAGTACAACAAACAATTTCATGTGTGATGCTTCCACTTGCCGGAAGAAATATTGGCCTCCCACGCAAATTAGAAGGGCCTCGTCACGTGCTCCACCTCCACAACGGTATACGCGGCGTCACGTGTTCCTCCCACACAAATGAACTCATGACAAGGGACAAAAAAGAAACTAGAGGATTTGCATGAACAGGAAGATGAATGTTTCTACTACAATCTTTATACCCTCTAAACTGGCTTCTGCTGTGTTTCCACTCGATTTCGTTTTCCTTATTAGTTTACCTCCGTTGAGTTTTACAGCATAAAGAAAGCGCCTTTTTATACCCAATCTATACTCCGCTCCCGATTTGTAGTTGTACTGAAGACACAGCTGGAGCGTTCAATAGTCCTCAAATTGGTTCTTTCACTTCAATTTCCCTAACATAATAGTGTAAATCCCCTGCCGTTCTTGTTAACTTACATATCAACAGGCGTTAGTTAGCTTAGCGCGAAGCTAACGAGGACACAGCCTAGTAGCGCGTGGTGAGATAGGGCGTTGAAAATCTCCGGTTCAGCTGTCATGCGGAGGAGGACGGGTACTTTACCTTTCCGCTCTTATCTTAACCTGAGATCAGGCTCTTTTTTCGTTTCGTTTTGTAAATAACATTCCGTCGGGCAAGGCGAAACGAAACGAGCCTGAAACAAAACTTCTACGAAACGTCTGCCGCCCACTTTTTTGATTCATTGACATTTGCTGAATCAGCCAACCAAAATTACTTTCTTTGCATGCTTTTTTTAGTATGCAAAATTTTTCATAGGTAGAAAAATGCAGACTCGCTGACTTAAAAAATAGCTTTTATCTTTTTTCAACTAAAAAAAAAACAGTCAGCAAAATCACAAGTTAACTTATTGAAAGACTTTAAGAGATCTTGAAGGTTATTTCTGTTGGCGTATATCATTAGTCACTCGCTGCGCTCGTTTGTAAATATTGTTTTTGGCACGAGAAAATAAAATTCATATCTTCAAGCCGCCGTGCATTGTTCTTTTTAGCGGAGCTCCACGCGCGCGCGCGCGCTTTAGAGTGCCATAGCTAAGAAAATCTATCCATCCAAGAAAATTTGGTAATCACGAGACCGTACACCGACCACCACCTACCGTCCGTCCTCACCACAGGGAAACCACACATTCTAGCTATAGATACTAGTTGGGATGAAGTTGTGCTTATGAGCTGCACTAATAACATTATTTTATTGCAATCTCACCTCGGTCAATGTTTAGATGCATTTTTACATGCTCTCTCAGGGTTATGAACCTGCAAGCAGTGAAAGTCTAAAAATGTATGAATCTGACCCAGAGAGAGTCTTCAGGGACGAGGTTGCACCCCCCCCCCCCCCCCCCCCCACCCTAGGCTTCACTATGCAAAAAAAGTTAGTGAGACAGATTGAAGAACTGAGGGGAAATGGGGAAACCGTGAGTGATGCAGCAATGCAGCAAACCATTTCAAGAACTTTTCCACCGTTGATTCAGAATTTGGTGATGATTTTACCGTCTTTCCCACGTTCGTTTCGACTGATACATTAAAACATCTAAACAGCCTCTGAACAGCATTACATGACAGCTATCGATCCCTGATGATGTACACCTACCTTATTCCATTAGTTCCTTTCCTTATAATTTTGATTTATAAGGCGGCAATTTAACCAAAACCTTAGTTGAGCAACGATCAATTTTTTTTATCTATTCGTCAATAAAGCTAGCACTAAGAATGTCCTCTGGAGCAAGATCGACTTGATCGTCCCCCATGTTAGTTATTTTAAATTTGCCACGAGGGCTATTAAGCCTCACTTCCCTGCAAATTCCGTTTTTTTCTGGAATCGTAGTATTACGAATGGACATGCACAAATAGCAAAGAAATTAATCTGGCCAAACTCAATTCGAGAATTTCTGTAGAAGTTTTAACTCTGCCTGTGGCCGCCAAACCAACCTTACGTGCTACAGTGCACGTGCAATTTTATTAGCAGTCACTACACGACGCGACTGCCTTGAAGAACGATTTTGTTTTGCAAGCACGTGGTTTTTCATGGACATTAGGTCGGTTGTCACTTGTCGATCGAGATGTTTCGTTACATACGTTTTCCACAGATGACGCACGGCAAACATAATGGCAACAGAAAACAAACGTGAAAATGAAGAAATGGTCGTCGCAGTGAACGCAATTTATGCAATTGCGTAAAGAAGCCTGAAAAAAATCCAGGACTTCAACGGGGTTTGAACCCGTGACCTGGCGATACCGGTGCGATGTTCTACCAACTGAGCTATGAAGGCACTGACGTTGGGAGCAGGTTAATTGTGAGTTGATATGTTCCCGAAAGAAATGAGTTTTAATGATACAAAAAATAAATCATATATGAACTGCAGAAATGAACCTGTTGAAAAAACCAAGTACGCTGAGTGATAAAAACTATTAAATAATTTAAATTTTCTCTCTGGAAAATAATTGTCCTCGTAGCACATACGACGTCAGTACGCGTTTATACTTCGCACCATAGGTACCAGTCATTTTTCTTTTGTTGATACAGACTATTCATTGCCAGTGAGCTCATGTCCTCCCAGAGGACTATTTTTTTCTCTCTTGAAAGGAAGCAATGACGTAATTTCTCTCGATTTAAGTTTATTTATACTCGACTCAATCACTGTCAAGGAGGTGAAAAACTTTTCGCAAGGAAACCCTGTTTCGTGTAGAATAAATCACGTCCTCACCTTATCTATCCCAAGCATGCGAGACTTTAACGCTTTTAGAGCGTTTTTTTTTAAGCTACGATGAACCAGGAAAAAAAGCTTATAGGACACAGCTTCAAAAAAGGTACCAAGAGATAACGTGGTTAAAATACAAAAAATGAATATAAAATAAATTTAATTAAATTTATTGACTACATTTGAATCCCCATAGTGCACATTTTTACTCTCCACTGAGTTTTCTTTAGTTATTGTTTCCAAAATGTTATTGACCTTATTACATGAAATTTTGGCGACACTTTAATTTAGCGAATTTAGTGATTTTTTAAAAATTGCCAAATTAAAATGCACCACAATTAAGTGTGGCTAAATTAAAGTGATTACAATATGCAATTCCGCCATCTGATCAGTTTCACACACATTATGCTGTTATCTAACGGTCGATTACGAGTGTATCCCTGACTTTGTGTGACAATATACCTTAATTAAGATATGACATTACAGTGACAGTTTCGTTTGTTTCGCTCTAAGTTAAGTTTCAGAACATTGTGTGATCTTGATTTAGGAAATTAGAGTCATTCTTTTCTTTTTTCCCTTTTTCGGCGCCATCCTCATAGACTGCTTGCAGTCCACCTTTTCTCTTAAAAATCCGTTTTTCTTCTCGGGCTTACGGGCTCGTTTCTCGCGGCTCGCGTGCTTAGTTAGGTTTCGCGAGCAGTAACTTTGCAGAGAAAATCAAGAGACTGCTCGCAGTCTACCATCCTCATGGTTCTCCCTAACCTGATTATCATGTGCGCATGTCCTAACGCGTCAGTCTCTTTAACAATTATTCCTCGAGCCCGAATGGGCTCTGAGTCAATAGCCCATGAGGTCCCAAACTAGGGTGACTCCAGTTACGTGTCGGATGCGTGTGGACGGGCAAATTCGATTTGAATACGAATACGTGTGGACGTGGAAATTTTTGAATTCGGAAAGAAAAAGTTGCGGATTCAAAAATATGCAGATGCGTGTGGGCGGGGCCTTAAATGAAGCTACTGACGTTTATAATTTTATGACGTAAATGTTCTATTGTCGTAGTAAAAGTCTTCAATACCTTAATTCGCTTAAGTTTCAGTTCATGAAATCGAGAAAATTAAGTGACTTATGTTCCAAAATTTACGAAAAATCGCTAAATTTAAGTGCCGCTAAATAAGGATCTTTTAAAATCGCTAAATTAACGTTTCGCCAAAATTTTGTGTAATAAGGCGTTCAGCTTTTCCAGGAGCATTTGACAACAATAGGATATGCAAAACTTAGGGGAGCCAACAGAGTGTGAAGACTTCGAAAATAGAGAACTGAAAAGGTTTTATATTTTACTGAAAGTTTGTACACTGTTAGCAGTTTATCGTGAACATCGTGGTTTCCACAAAGTTAACTTAAAACCAGGATATTTTACACTTGTAAGTGCTCGTTCAAGAAAATCAGCACACAGTACGTCCGCTCTAAAACAGGCACTATTTCTATTTGTATAGTTCTATTACTACTTTCATTTAAAATGTTTCTAGAACGTGCATAAAAATGACTGGAATGAATATGTACATGTTTTCTTTTACAATTAATGTAAAATCTGTAAGTGTTTTATGTAAGAAAAATTGCGATACTCAGTACATTATATCAAATCATGTCTACGTAAAACAAGAAAAAAAACTATGAAACACGCAAGCTCAATCAACACAATGATCAAGTAGATAGAAAATCTACTTGTGTTCTACATTTTTGCTGTGAGTGAAGGAACTTCTGTATTCTTTTTTTTTTTCTCATTTTTCCCTTTTTAATCCGCTGAATTTATAGTGTCGTACAAACAGAACTCTTCTTGGTTCCAGGCGAACTAGAGTCTGCTTGAGGGTCATCTTTTTGATTGACAGCTGTCTGTTGTTGCTGTAGTATGACTGTCTGTTGCTGCTCCTCTTGTCCTGTGTATTCCTGGAATATTAATGTACATTTTGCGTTGTTATTTAATTCAGTAATTTGTTGCGAACGGGTACTAACACTATAACTGATCAGCATAGTATGAAAGTTAAGCCAGCTAAGTGATCGCCTTTTTGTCAGTAAAGATGGACTCCGTGAATACATTAGGCTATGTTCAACCGTCAAACTTTTGACGAACCTAATGCTAATAAGTGAGAAAAATAGATGTTGCTAATTAGCATCAGGTCCGTCACATGTGAAGTTTGACGTTTGACCTGGGCCTCCGTTTATATGGAGAAAACTTGGCCCCAGCTTTCCTGGGCGAGCCAACTTTTCATACATTTCCTTACAAACGTGGCGAACCGTTAACATGAAAAACAAAACGTTGACTCAGCTAGAATGATGACCGGCCTTACCCGAGTCACGCTTTTGTCATGGCATGATGACCCTCCAAGCCGGGTCAATTTTTCTCCATAAAAACACTTTGGCTCGCCCAGCCGGGTCACCTCGGTCATGTGAGTGTTTTAGACAATCAGAGCATGCGTAAGCGTTGTTGGCTTGGGCAAAGCGGGTCAATTTTTTTCTTGCGTAAACGCTTGTTAAAGTCGACTCGGCTGGGCGAGCCAAAGTGTTGAAAAATGGAGAAAAGTTGGTCCAGCTTCTCGGGTCACCCTTCAAGGCGAGCCAACATCCTTTTCTCGTGTTAACGGTTCGCCACGTTTTGTGAAAAAATGTATGAAAAGTTGGCTTGCCCAGGGTAGCTCGGGTAGGCGAGTGACTTTTTCTCCACATAAACGGGCCAAGTAATATCGGACTTGTTAGTTTGCGTAACCTAATAAAGCGGGATGCTTCTCGTACAGAGTCAAGATCACCATAAAATTGGACCCAAGGTAAATTAGATCACCTATTGCGGCCTAAAGTCGTTGAGTTACAGTGCGTCAAAATGGTGCAACAGTTTACCCAATGCGACAAAGAAGGTTGACACTTATACAACCTTTAACTAAAGTTGAAATTTCTAGATCTTTTAGAATATCCAAACTAAACATATTTTCAGATCTGACGCGTTTTTTTACCATTACTATTGCTATTATTATTATTATCATTATTATTATTATTATTATTATTGCAAATATATAACTTACAGAGAAAGAGAGGAAATTCTTTACCTTTAATTTTGGATTTGTAACGTATTTAATTTGTACCGGCCGAATCTGAAAACTAGTTTTATAACTAAGAGTGCTCACTAGTCTTAATTTGAACACCTCCATATTTACGGTAATCGTGGAAATTTAACAGTTTTTTTTTTTTACCTCAAATTCTGGCCATTTTGTTGGCATGTCAATCCCACAGTTAACAGACCACCAAGAAATATCAGCAGGGACGTCTACTGCTTCAAAAGCTGCATTCAGTTCACTGTAGATACTGGATATCCTGTACAATCAAAGGCAAGTTAACTCGATTAACAAGTACATGTACAGGCAGCGGCAGGGATTAGCTCAATCGGTAGAACGTTTGAATGCAGAGCGGGAGGTCCCGGGGGGGTACTAGGGGTAATTTTTGCTGTGTATGTGCCGCTGGCCTCTCAGAGCCCTTATTTCCCCATTTACAGTCTATTCTGCGGCCAATTATAGACTCCATTTTAGTCACTTTCGGGCAAGGAGGGTAATTTTTTCGATCCCAACTTAGTCGCTTTTTATTTAATTATCTACCTTATCAATCCTTTAAATAGGTCATCCTAAAATGAATTGACCCATTTTATAAAACACTTTACTTTTATAAGAACACTTTACTTTTCACCTACATTACAAACATTCTGGTACGTTTGCTAACTGTAAATATGGAGAACTGTCTAACCCCAAAAATCAGAAAATGTGCGACCCCCTTATAGTCAAATGCGACCCCATCCAGCGGCACATTCCCATCAGCCTCTCAGATGTATCAGGAAGTACTCCACCCTGGTGGCACCCAACGAGAATAATATAGTTCAAAACCACTTAAACGTAGCATTGTTACACGTATTTTAGTATTTAAACGGTAAATATAGGCATATTTTTATCCCCTAAAAATTTTTCATCTGTTCGGATTTCCTAGCTGAAAGTCTAGTGATCCGAAAATTATAGGGATCAAAACTTACCTTTTCGAAAACTTCAGCCAGAAGAAAGGCTCCCGAAAATTCTAGGTGACCTTTTTAGGGTAAAAATCCGTTAAAAATGGGCAATTATACCATGTTTTAGATGTTCAAAAATCCTAGGAGAGGCAGGCAAGCAAGAAATTTTACAACAAATGTGCCTAAAATTCTAGATCTCAAATCGTCTTCCGGACAGATATTTTCCGAAAATTGACGATGGGTACCCTTGAGCCTAAAAAGTGCAATGCATTTAGGAGGAAAATGTCGTTGGGGGCACCTGATGCAAGATCAAGGTCTCATCATTTACGGGACTAACCTGTTAAAGTGTGGTGCTAATGACATCTGCTGGCAGTAATTAAGTAATGTTTGCTTAAAGAAATTCTTCCTCTCCTCTTCAGACTGCTGGCATTTGTTGAAAACATAACGCATATCCTCCACATACTTTGGGTTATAATTTCCGATATCCCTCAGACTTTCTTCATACTTTCCTTTTGTGACTTGCACATCATTAGCAGCTTTTTCAGATTTATCTTTCAGTTTCTTTACTTGTTCTTCGTTGACTGTGCTTCCTTCAACGCACGCTTCTTTATAAAGCCTCTCTGTCTGGTCTCTAACTTTGCAGGCTTGGTGATACGCTCGTTTGCATTTTAAAACTAAAGTAAAAATCAACATTTACAAAATCAGCATGTGAAATGTACATGTATAAAGCATCTGCTCCATACGTTTTTGAAATATTAAAAAATTACATGATCTGAATATTTGTAAGTCTTTTTACAAAACACTAAATGTTTCTGAACTTCACTTAAAGGGTTACTTACTGCTGCCCCATCAGCTTCCATGTAGATAGCAAACAGCAAGTTTGCTGAGGGGATAGCCTGAGAAAACATACCAGATTTTGCAATGCTACCATTGTTTTCCCACAAAATGATGTCTGAGAAACAAGTGCAGAAAATTGATACTGATAATGCATTACTACCCAGATCTAGCTAGTGCCTCTGATTGGTCGAGCTGGGTGGCAAATTTGCTTCAACCAATCAGAAGCACTACAAGGATCTGGGTAGTGACGCATCATCAGCATGGACTTTCAGTGGGATCTGATCCACTGGCACAGCTATGACAATGTGGATAAGTGTTATTATTATTATTATTATTATTATTATTATTATTATTATTATCATCTTCTTCATTATCATTATTATTATTATTACCTTCATCTTGTCTTTTAGCCCAAGGTTTCTGAGCTTTACTGAATCCCTCCTCTGCAGTTTTGGTTTCTTTCCAGCTGAGTAATGATTTATGATAGTTTGCAGACTTCCACTTCTGTACATTCCCATGGACTTGGTTAACAAGTCTGATTTGTAGTTCATTGTGAATCTCAGCTAGCTTATCTGCTTCACTAGTAATGTTTAGCCAGGAACTTTTCACTGTTCCATACTCAGGACCTTTGTTTACCAGGTCATTCCACTTTCTGCTCCACCCTTGAAATGGAAAGAGATGTGAAATAATGATTATTATTATTCATTCAAAATATTTCCCCAATTCTGATTGGCTAAAAGCACACGCATAATTCACCATAACCAAATTTGGAAGACTTTTGTGTTTAACGAGGAAATGGCATAAAAAATGCAGCCCACTACACTAGGTTAATGCACCTTTAACCGAGAAGACCTGGGGAAGAGGTTGAGTTGTTTTGGTTGTGAAAACAAAAATGGCCGACACTTCACTCGTTTCAAGAGTAAGAACTACAGCTGGAACTAGGCAAAATAATAGCTAAAAACATAGCAAAGACAGCAACAAGACAACTCGGAGGGCAACATGCTCTATTTGGAGAATATTTGCGGAGCTGAACAAACCTAAATGTACACTATCAAAGATGAACTTAACATCGATGGAGGTAGGCATGTTTTAGCTATGTTTATTAAACTAGGAATTATTCTGAATGAATAATAAAACAATTAATGAATTCGGCTTTTGTATCATATGAAGAATTATGGAGATCTTGGAGGGTGTTTGCCGCCTCGGCCTGAGGCCTCGACAAATAACACCCTCCTCGATCTCCATAATAATATTCTTCATAAGATACTCAGCCTCATTCATTAATTGTTAATTATCAACCCTACAATCTCAAGATTTGCCTCAAGATTGTTAAGGCTGTCACACAACAGTACTATAACTCCTAATGATATTATTATTATTTTTCACGATCAGAATGAGCATCACAATTTCAATGATATCACACTGGTTTAGCTCTTTTAAAACCGAGTTTCAATTCAGGCATTATTTGCATTTCCTTAGAAATGCTCTGTACTTCATACACTGTGGGTGCTTGCCTATGGTTGAGCAAAGTTTCTTTTTTCAGGCTGCAAAGAAAGTCAGTTTTAGAGCTTGCCATTCGGGCAAGCTGTGGTTAGCAAGAACTAGCCCAAGAGTAATTTCAACTAGCCCAAAACATTTTTTGATGAACAGGGTTGATTACAGTTCTCTTCTAATTTGAATTTCCCAAAAAACTTCACTTAACCATCGGGCAAGTTAAAAAAAGGATTCACTAGCCCGATAGCAAAATCCACTAGCCCTGGGCTATCGGACAATACTTTCTTTGCACGCTGTTTTTTTCCGCTATGATAATTTGTAAATTTAATTTAAAATAATATGATTACTGATCATACAGTGTACAGTAAGTCACAAAAAATAATTTACAATGATGAAAAAAAATGTAAAAAAAAATTGGTTTAAAGTTTCTTTCACTTTATTATTCAAAGGCACAGATATATCAAGACTGTAAAAAAATGAATTGTTATCAATTTACATTGCAAATTAACTTTTCCAAAGATAACCTAGATGCCTAATCAAGTGATTAATTATTCATCACTAAAGTTCTTTATGCATTATTTAACATAGAAAGTTCTATACGCAGGTTGAGTAACAAGCTCAATAACATAATTGCAGCTTAGGCCACTAAAGATTAAAGATCCCACAGACTCTCAACAATTTACAAACAAATACAACTTGAAAAAGTAAACCTTACAACACTTACACACGAGTTTTTTCCAATTTTTGCCTAATGCCAACACTAACCAGTATCTAAAGCCGGTGGAAGAGCATTGCCCTCAAAACTAATGAGAACCACCGCCAAAAAGAGCCACATTCTGCCAGCAACAATGCAGCACATATAGATTTTTAACATGGCTGATGGCAAAGTGCTAATATAATTACTGCCACTGTTATTTATGTGGAACAAGAAAGGGACATAGACATTTAAAACGACTGAACAGTGACTTTTATTACATTCTTCTCTAAAAGAGATGCTACTGCAACAATTATTGATTTTAAACAAAACAAGGAAAAAACCTCACGACAAGATGAAACATCGCTCTGCAACACTCTAACTAGTACATGTGAATACGGTAAGTTAACAAACAAATGCCTTTATCCCATTAGAAAGAAACTGTCAGGGGATAAAAAGGTCAAAATCTGTCCATACAAGGTAATACCTTAACATACATGTACTTAATTTTGCTTTGACACAATCTTCACATTGAGAAAATAATAATTTCACCCAAGACAACTTTGTTTCTGACTCTCTTTAGTAAATAGCTTATGTTGCTAAGATATGTAATCATGTCAAAATCGACACCTGCTATAGAGGTTCTACATGTATAGAATCCAGTGTATATAATTATGTGCCTTGAACAAAGGCGCGTGAATGATTAACTGTCAATTATCGCCGACTTTTTTTGAAGAGATGGACTACCGACTTCCAATATGCACATCAGGCTTGGACACAAAAAATCCATGAAATAGAGTATTTTGATCTGTATGTTCTCAAGATATTATGCCATTTGCTCTACACATGGAAAGTTGCAAACAATGTTATGACATTAAACTTGAGCTGAATGAAGACAGCAGGTTTGACATGTCACGCACGTCAATTATGCTACGTACTGCAGAAGTTATAGATCTACAATGCTGGTTTATTTTCCTATTCTTTTATACCTAGCCAGTATCAAGATTTGTATCAGGTATTCAACAAAGCTGAAAATACCAATAAATTGTTACAAATAGGAAAGGGAAGTCGCAATAACATTCATATAGTAAATTTTTATGAAATTTAGTTACAGCCTTACAGCATTACAATCGCCTGAAAAGGCAAAAAATTATCGTTTTTGTCGAGTAGTTTTTAGCGGTATAACAGACAAAATAAAGAAAAGTAAAAAGATGATGCACAAGAAACCTTCTGTGTAATCTCCTTGACTACATCAGACCTTTTATATGACTTACCTTCAAGCTTTGTGGCGTAAAGTCCCTCAATTTCTGCTCTCTCTGCCAAAAGTTTCAAAAGGTCATCACACAACCTGGCGCCATCGTCAATACGCTTGACAGTTCTCTTATAGCTATTAACATCCCAAAAATTAAACCAAGATGGTGAAACTGCCGCCGGATCTGGCAAAGTTCCATTAACTGTGTTTTCATTCGCGTTTGCCCTGCGGTTGTCGTTTCGATCTTCGATGTCTTGGATCTTTGGATAAATTACGGAGTTTGATTCTTCTGCAGAGTTTATTGTCCCCGGTAAATTGGCTACTTCATCTTCACCCTCCATTGCTTTAATGATGCCGATTATACTTTGTTTTACCGGAAGGTCGATGTTTGCACTTGCGTCAAAGTAAGCTAACAAAACGGTTTCCAATCAACAATATTCCTCCAAACTTCACTAAAATTGTTTTTTATGAGCTCTCAGTATCCTTAAGTCAGCGGATGCACTCTCCAAAACAAACGCTTGGTAACCTTTCCAGAATATTTCTGGCCAACATGGCGAAGTCAGAACAAAAACCGGAAAACGAAATGGAAAAAGAAGATTCTTGGTAGCTTTTGTGTCCACCGTCAACAGATGCTTGCCAAATGCTATCGATAAAGGAGTCATATCCTACTGCTGAATTGTCATACTAGTGAAGGAGCCATCGAGCCACAGTTCGAATCATACATCGTATGACGTCACCTGTTTCAATTTATCTGGATATTATTGTGGATATTTATTTTTTGGACCGTAACTATGCCTGGATATTTCTCACACGTCCCTACAACAGCTTTTTACCCTTCAGCGTCCTGATGATCTGTCAAGATTAAACTATATTTTACCATTTGCTTCACGATTCGATTCACGAGAACCTCTCGGTTCTTCCAAGTCTCGTAGAGGTTTTAATGAGATGTTTTGATCACTGATAATCATGAATGTCGAGGAACTGGAACTCTTATCTGACTCTAAGTACCGACAATTTGTCAGCGCTATCGATAAAGCACTAAAGAACTTTGAGTACTCCAGTGAGTGGGCCGACTTGATTTCTGCACTTGGAAAACTAAACAAGGTAATTTACAGACCCGAATAAATTAAAATTATGCTTGTGCTTGCACACCGTGCAATTTTTTTTAATTAAAACTTAAGTGAAAAAAAAGTTATCGTATTTTATTTCACTGATTTAAAAAGTCAGTCGTAATAACATAATCAGGAAAACATACAAAAAAAACATGTACATTGAGCAGTGTGTGAAACGTTATAATTATTATTTCCGTTTGTAGTTTTTTTATCTAATTATTTTACTCCTGCCCTGAATGGGGAATGCTTTTGTATAAAACCTTTACATTTGCACATTATTCCTCCACTACATCCTTGGAGTCTAAGACTATATTATAAATCTGTGGATTTAAAGGGTTATATATTATCTTAGTAGAAAACATTTATAATTTTTATATTGTATAAAAATTATACTGCATTTTCTACTAAAACCTTCCCCTTAATTAGATAATGTGTGTCATCCTGTCTGTTGTAAAGATAGGGTGAGAATTGTTGATGGAAATGCTTATAAAATGGTATTGTTAATTTGTAAATAATTTAAATAGTAGCATTTTTCCTATACATGTACTTGATAATCATCAAGATTTTTGTAAGCTCTTGGGCCTTAGGAAACTATTATTTTTTGTCTTGTCAAGGTCCTTGGAAAGGAATCAAAGAGTGTTTCTATCTTTAGAGTTTCCTCTTTTTATAGACATGAGCTAACAAGTCATGTTTTAGTGCACAGACGTTTAAGCGTGTATAGCATGCAAAACCAATTTTTGTTATCATTATTTGCAAATAATATCATCATTACAGAAACATGCCCTTTGATAATTGTTGCCTATGAAAAGTGGGGTACCCATTAAGGCTTTGCAAGCAAAAAATGAGGTTTCAAAGGCTACACCATGTACCACTGTTTTCGGTCTCTTATGAACTTTATAGTGACTAACAATTTTCACACTTTCCAGAAAAGAAACAATGCAGGAACAATACAAGTAGCTTACCATTGTTTTAGGTGTTGGAATGTCTTTGCCATTTCTTCAGAAAAGAAAATATTTATGCAAAAAGAGGCATTTTTTTTTTTGCAACTACGCTTAAATTAAAGCATCCCAAATTAGGTAGTCTCTTGCGAATCAACTCGATGGCAAAACAGCTAATAAGAAACCAAAACTCCTCTTCACAAAAATCAGTCAATGAATAAGATTGAATAAAAATGTTTAGAAGCATTTATTACGATCAGAAGCGGTAGCGGTAGTTGTTTTCTTAAGACAGATTAGACGGCTGTTCAGGTTTGGTGATTAAATACAGTGTTCTCACCAGGATTTTGCCTTGGGGAGTCCCAGGGCCCCCTCTTCTGAGAAATAGGGGCCCTGTAAGAACATTAGGGGGACAAAGTTACAAAAAACACGCGGTACGAAGAACCTGAGCCCGCACTCCAAATTGTCTGTTACATGAAGTACCTACCTGATCCAATATGGCGGAAGAGGTGTTTACGATTCGGAGGAGGAGTTTACGATGTAGTGGGACGTGCGTGGGACCAATGAAAGTAAAGGCAACAAAATTAAAGACTTTGACTCATTTGATATCATGTTTTTTTATTTATTCAGACAAACAGAATGCTTTAGTGTTAGGGTGACCATTAAAACTACTTAAGTCCATTTGACTCGTAGCTTGCCCCTGCGCCCTAACGGGCGCATCTTCTTGGTTTTAATGCGCCATTTCAGTTTTTTCTTGCGGGAATCCCGCAAGGCCGCGGCCTGGTGAGAACACTGTAAATATGTAGTTTATATTACGCTGTTAAAGGAAACTATCGCTCTTAATTTGGCCTTATACTTTGTTAAGATTAGGTGAGATTACTTTTCGGAGAATTTGGCCTTAAATTTTGAGGCCTATAATATTATCTGAAATCCGCAACAAAATGTAAACAAACCGAAGCATTGGTTTTGCTCAAATTTCATCAATCGATTCGAACACTATATATGAAAGTTTGTAAAAGCTAAAAATTCATTTCAAATCAGTCTGTTGAAACATGTACAGCAAAATCAACAACAATTATTGAGGATTTTTCAATTTTAAAGTGTTTAAAAGCAATTGATTATATGCTAATTTGGATTAAATTTAGAAATTTTTTAAATAAACTTAAGTATTGTTAGTTGCATGAAGTTCTATTCTTCTTCCAATAACAGCCAAATGTTGCGTGTGTCTGAGCAAGAACGGTAACCAGGATTTCTTGATTGACACTCTGTCCACATCCTTTTTCATCTATTTGCATTTTCACGATCGACAAACATCAATGGGTGCATTTCTGTAATTGTTTACAATATTCAGTATTTTCATGTCATAGAGCTCTATGGAATATTCCTTAGGGGAGAATGAAGTATTACATGTATCTTATTTTTCATATCATGTGGAGAATACTATTACATTCATTTTATCCAATTAATTATTAAGTGTGGGAAAGACAACAAAATGAATCAATGTCACACCCTTATCAGCAGATTGAACAGACAGTGGAAGAATTCATTTCCTATTTAGAGTTGTGTACATTATGTACTTCTAGATTGTCTTTGTACTGACACATCTACTAAATGTTTCATACTAACAAAAATTGATGTATCTTAACAAATGGCATTTCAAAAAATCTACCCTTTTCTTTTTTAACCATTACTAGAAATCTAAATGTAGGTACAATTTTGGCAGCTGCCAAATTTTTACAGAAGCATTGTTCTCTTAGACAGGGCTCCATTCTTAGGAGCTTAAGAGACTTGAGGAGCAAACCGACGAGGAGAAACCCTGCACTGTCACCAAAAGTCAGGGTTGTCACTAAGATTTTAAGTTGCCGGGTAAATACAACAAGTAGGCGGGGAATCAAACAGCTAGAGATTTCTTTTGGTTCCATTTTTCTTCTGTTTTCCAATAAAAGTAGCCACGGGGGCCACTCTCTTAGTAGCCGGGGAAAATCCCCGGCCCCCGGCTCTTAATGACAACCCTGAACAGTACAAGTTCTCGTAGGGTCAGGTTTTTTTCTAGCACCCGTTTTCTGCAAATTATTAATTTACACTTAACTTTCTGCCATTTTTTCTTTTTTTACTTCACCTGCACTGCGACCAATGCATAACATTTTCCACACCATTTATTAAAAGCAGACATTCAAAAAACTAGTTAAGCTAGTTTATTTTTAACTAATCTCAGATTAGTTATTCGGGTGATCATAATTTTGCTTTCAGGAACTCCTTCTTATAACACACAATTTATTAGTTATCTGCATAGTAAGAAATTTAATTGTGGATTTACCACTTATTGGAGGATAGCTTAATCAGCTTTTCAGGAACTGTGGCCTGGTCTTCCAGTGAGCTATGAAGTTCTCACAGCAATTGACCAGATCAATTGGTTGAATACATTCGTAATGCATTTAAAAGACCACCCCCGAAAGTAATGAAATGAAACATATGTTTTTATCCAACAGTCTTTGTTTGGGCATCACCTCTCTTGACTCTGCAGTTAATATTAATATTACTCCTTCTACTTTAGGTTTTACAGAATCATACCAAATTCAAAGTGCTTCCCAGAAAGCTTACTATTGGCAAAAGGTTGGCACAATGCATGCACCCCACTCTGCCAAGTGGTGTGCATCTCAAAGCACTGGAAACATACGAGCTCATCTTCACACGCATCGGCCACAAAGGACTGGCACAGGATTTGTTCATATATAGTGCTGGACTTTTTCCTTTACTTGGAAATGCTGCTATGTCTACTAGGCCTTTGTTGATGACTTTGTATGAGAATTATTTCCTTCCACTTGGTAAAGCATTGCTTCCTGGATTATCAGGACTGTTACTTGGCCTTTTACCAGGGATTGAGGAAGGATCTGAATATACAGACAGGTTTGTTGAATATGCTGCAGTCATCAGAAGCCTCCCAATAATGATTTTATCCTTACCACTAAACTACCATTAAGCTCATCAGGGGCGTAGTCAGCCCCTGGACCTGTAGGCCGGAGCCTACAAATTTTTGGTTAGATCACTCTACCACTTGTAATAGGTTATGCGTTGTTGGGGTGAGCTAAAAGGCTTAAGAGGTCAAAATGTTTGTGAGGTCAGACTAGTGATGCGTGCAATTTTCAGGATATGTGGATATGAAAGTCAGTCAGGCCTACATATAGTATTGAAAAGCTGGCTACACCCCTGCTCATCAACAAAGATTAGCAGGGAGAAAGTGCCCAGAGAGGCTTGTGGAGAGAAGAACAACAGCCAACTGCAGTGCATGACAATCCTGTTGTTGGCATCCACCCAGGCATCATCACCTTTCCAACTAAACTAGTGCAATACCAACTTTATAATTAGCATATACTTACCAAAGGGAGGATGGGGTAGGGAGGGGAACACTTGTTGAACAAGACAAACATGAAGCGACGTGAATATAATGGCCTGACCTCAAGACCCCTGTAGAGCTAATTGAGCACCCTCAATACCTCTCAGCAGAGATGCCCAGCAATGCCTTAAAACATAAATACATGTAATATTAAAGAGCAGATTTAGAGAAGGGATAAATGAACTTGCTGTTTGTGTCTAAGTCTAAAGCACTCAATTAAACCTCATGTTTTATTAAGCTTAAAAAAGTAGCCAGCTCAGTCTTTCAATTTTTAAGTGTGCAAGTTGTACTCAGTCAATAATAATATTATTATTATGAGGTGAAACTACTGTAGATGTTATTTGCTGCCCCAGTAGATCTGCATCTCTGTTCATCCCTGGAAATTTTGATGGTGTAATCTGCCTTTCGTAATCTCCACTCACAGGACAATTTCATTGTTGGGATCCTTCAGTGAGAACACAGACAAGAAGATTTTCTACACAACATTGTGGGGATGTATTTATTCATCACCCGGCATCCGCTTACCAGGCATCACCTTTATAATGACAAGGCTGAACAGAAAAGGAGCTGGAAACCAAGAGTATCTGTTAGGAAATGACCCTCCTCTTTTAGTAAGTGTTATACATTGCATGTATCAACCTGTATTACACTCTGAGGGGGATACAAACTGTATTGAATGGGCGGGGATGCTGGACATCTCAGTTAGGGGTGTAAATTGCAGATTTTGGTATCACTTAGATGGTTTGGACAGTAAGCTTACATTTTGGCCTCTACTAGTCTCCTTCGCAGCCGCTCGGGCCGGACTCATGGGAAGGGGAGCATTGCCTGACTCTGGCCTGAGCAGCTGCAAAGGAGACTACAATCCTGGGCAGAATAAAATGGAACAGCACACCCCGATACCCACCCCCACTCCACCCGCCAAATCAAGGATGAAGCCGCGCAAAAGCCAAGACGCGTCATTTTTCTATCCTTGATTTACGGGAAGGGGGATAACAAATTTCCCATCTATTTTGTCCAAGATTGTATTCCTCTACAGGTATCGTTTATGCTCTGCGTTAAGAAGCAAAGAAATCGGAGGAAAAATGGAGAAAGAAGGAAAAAGAAAAAGCACTAACTGACAGTGCTGTTGTCACAACGACAACGCAATTGTCACAACTATAAATAATTATACTAGGGTTTTTTAGATGTTCGTGTTAGAATTGTATCTTTTAGAGGTGAATAAAGCTTGAGCCACCCCCTGTTTGGTCTCCTTTTGGAGTTTAATTCCAATTTTGTCCACAGACTCAAAAGTTAGTATAGACTTTCTCAAAGCCCGTTTCCGGTTCCTGTTGGTCTGAAGTTAGTACTACCGTAGAAAATAAATAATGCCAAGTGAAAATACTGCTGAATGGGTTTCATTTAATAAGGTCGCGTGGCAGGAATTCACTCTACCTTGATAAATGACTCCAACATTCTATCTGTGAGGGAAAGGTTTAGAATGCTGAGAATTTTAAGAGGGAGTTTGTGTGTTCAGAGGAGGAAGAAGTAAAAAAAGTGGTGGCTTAAGTTAGAAAGCCTTCGTTTAGTTCATAGTTAAACGGTGGAATGTTATTAAACAACTTAAAAGTCGTTTGACTTCTCTTTTATCTTCTTTCTCAGTCTTTTCTTCAGTCTTGATTAACCTATTTACTTTTCACAATAGGTACAATCACTAAGTAAGGCCCTAGGAGACAGCAGTCTTCTTGTCCAGCGGAATATACTGGACTTCCTTCTGATTTTTCTTCCGGTGGACGCTTGTTACCTCTCATCCAAGGAAAAGATCACGCTAGTGGCGGCTGCATTAGAAGTCTTATTACGAAGAGACATGTCTTTGAACAGACGCCTTTACACTTGGTTACTGGGATCAAATGCGAAGAAAGAATCGTTGTCAAGAACCGATAGTCTCAGCGATGCGGACCACGAAGGGCCGATGGAGACCTTCTTCAGCTTGCACTCGAAGCCGCTTTTAATCGAGGCTGTAAGGAAAGTGTTTCAGAGTAAATTTAGGTTTGATAAAGGAGACTCGAATGGAGCTAAGAAAGCACAAAGACTGGAGGTATTAAAACCATTTCGATTGCTGAGAAGTCTTATGGACAAGCCTGAAATCGGCAGTGCAATCGTGGAAGACGTTCTGCTTGATGTTTTTAGGGCGCTGTACAACTATTGCAACGTGCTGAAAGAAAATGGAGCGGATGTTGAAGAAAATGACCGTAGAGATTCTGTGGAGAGCACTCACCTCGAGACGAGCACAACTGACTCGTCAAAGATGAAACTCATAGATGAACTCATCAAAACAGCAAACTTGCTTTTCAATTCTTTTGAACCTTATTTTATGTGGGAGTACCTAGCAAAGTTGCTTTCAGATTGCGATAAACAATCACTGACATCAGATAAAGTTAATGGCGTTGACACAGATCACTGCACCAGTAACGGATTTTGTGCTAAACCTACCTCGACAAGCTGTTCGGAAATTTTTCGCTTGACTGACTTTATTCTTGATGTTGTCACTCTTGTAAGTATAATTTTTCCCATCTCATTTTCTTTCTTGACGTAAAATTCCGAAAATAAGCAATACAAGAAATTGTGGTCAAGGTTTCTTTTATTCTAGAAAAAAAAAAAAAGAAAATGAACTTTACGACGATAATGGCGAATTACGTAAAGATGGAGGGCCGGATAGAGATATCTTTTTTTGGATGCAATAACGACCGTAGAATCATCCCAGAGAGCAATAATGCCTGTTTACAATAAAGTTCAGATATAACGCTCAATCTGATTGGTTTAAAAAGCACTTAGGAAGTGGCTGGAGCACTCAAGAAGTAGGAGGAAACACTAGACTACGTCTTGTGTTCCCCCCTACTCTTCTTTTGTGCTCTTTCCGCTTCCTGCGTGCCTTACAACAGATCAGAGCACTGTCAGGGCTTCTTTATTTTTTAAAAAAACCACGTGACATTGCTTTCATCCCATCAATCCATTGGCACGTGCAAAGATGGCGTGTATCACGAATAAGGTCCGTTTCCAAACATAAGCCCGAGGAACTTATGTACTGAGGAGCTCAATAAAGAAAGTGTTTTTACGTCTCGCATTTGAGGGGCTTTCACTCAGAATTTCACAATCTGCCAGAGTTTGGTGATGGAGTTAATCTAGAGTCCACTGACAGTTTTGAGAAACATGAACTTCTATAATGTCATACCTTTTTTACGTCCCATGCTCAGAGCATGAGACGCAGAAAACAATGCCTTCGTTATTCAAACCCGTGACATATCTGGAAGTTATTGGGCGCTCAATCTCGACTATCTAATCCGAGAGAGTTTTTCAAAAGCTTCCCTTTCCTACTCAGTTTGTGTAACTACAGAGGCGATAACGCAGAAATGAACACTCAGTGGCTTGGAGGACTGGGTCTCATAGAAAGCTACTGAGGTTGCTGACTAGAATGAAAACTGATATGCTCATGTTTTACTCGTAGCAAGCTGTGCAGTTACTTAAAGATTACGTCGTGTAAGGTGGAGGAAACGACTTGGAAGAGAGAGGATTCGTTTAATCGTACCATCACGATAGTTAATTACTACTTTAGTCTGCATGTAGTTGAGTTAGCGTTGAAGTCCAGAATTTCCCATCAAATAAACCCAGGCCGAGGGTATTGAAATTGACCTAATTGGTAAGTGTCAAGTCTCTGTTTTTTTCTGTCTGTTGACTCTTTTCTTTCTTATGTAGGAGGCTGATTTAGAAATTCAAACGGAGCACTGGCCAGAACTTCTGCGGAGGATAACAATTGAAATGACCAAGAGATGCGAGACAATGACTCTAGATGATGTCAAAGAAGGAATCTGTTTATCCTCCAAACTTCTGTCCAAGGTGATGCCTTCCATGAAGACTGTAGATACACAAGAACCCATTTCAAGTAAAGATCAGAGAAAGGAATTGGAAGGCTCTTCAGAACACGAACTGAATGAATGGAGCGTTATTGAGTTGGAACCTCGTCCTGAAGGTGACAGTAACAAGATTCCCGCATTGGAAAGCTCTGAAACGGTTCAAAATGGAATTACCAAAGAAGAGGTGGAAAAAGAGAAGGTATCAGGTGAAAAGGAGGCGGATACTACAGCAGAGGGCGATGGCCAGGAAAACGATAAGTTGGAAGATACTCAGGAGAGTCTTGACGAATGGAGTGATTTCAATGAGGCTGATCCGAATTTCCGATCAAGTGAGATAGAATCTAGTGAGTCTTCTAATGAGTTGTCTACTGTGGACAGTAAAACTGAAGTCAGTGAAAAAAGTCACTTTCACGACAGCAAAACTGTTGGCAGAGGTGGTGCAGGAAAAACGCAGGTTCAGCAGCCCTTTCAGTCTTCTTTAATTCAAGCCTGCGTGAAATACTTCCAGGATTTCTTCGCCCGATTTGTGATGGAAAGAGTATTGAAACGCCTCAACTCGCTTTCTGTTGACAGTGTGAATTCTCTTGGAGTTAGAAGCAAACAATGCTACACGGCAGTGCGAGCAAGTGGACTTATCAGCGAAAGCACGTGGAAAGAGCTTGATAATGGCAATCACATTGCAAGAGAGAAACAGGAAGAGAGTGCTTGTCAAACAGAAGGGAGTCTGAAGGCGAGAAGAAATGTGGTTGGACCAACTATGCTGGTGTCATCCTTTAGGTCAATGCAGTCGTCTAGGAAGTGCGCAGGGGCATTTGTAGCCGCATGTAAGCTGTTGCTGGAATTGTCCTGCTTTCCAGTTTGTTCTGGAAGAGATTCAGATTCAGAAGAAATCACAACTGACCAAAACGAAGGTACAGTTTTCGTTGCACGCTTTAAGTATTCCTTACTAATTTTTCCGTTGCTTATTGCACCTTCAAGAAATAACTTTTGCAGAAAATGTTTATTGCGAAACCTTAATATAGAAACTCTTTGCCTAATTGAATATCGTTGGATTCCCTAAAGCAATCAAAGAAGTTATATTTTCGTTTTCTTTCGAGTTGTTTTCCGCACAATACCTTGTAAGATAAATTATTTGGTACTTGAGTTAGAGAAGGGCAGTTCGTGACCAGAACTTGACAGGCTTTTTTTTTTCTATTTAGTGAGTTACGAAGTAGTGTTAAAAATTATGAAACTTTGCACTCACAAAAGGCTTGGCCCCGATCAAGCTTTTTAGAAATTTATAGTACTCCAGGAGCAAAATATTTTAATTACTTTATTCTTCGTTGTATAAGTACACGACAATAAGCCGCGGCAAATGTGAGTACTTTAGGTGGGGTTATTTTAAGGAACGTTTGACGGTGGTTACTTAAGCGCAGTCAAAACGCATATCAATTTAGCTAGTTGTAATATTGACGTGCATTGAGCGTTTTAGCATGAGGTTGGTAAAGGTAAAGACACACACGAGCCAAAGACCCAAAGGCGCGGAGCTTATCCCGGTTTCCTTAGCATGAAGCATGCCTAAGAGTATTGTTACTCCCCCCTGGACGGGAAGTTACTCCATCGCAGGGTTACCCCCCATTAGTATGTCGCCTGTACCCATTTATACACCCGAGTGAAGAGAGACAAAGTGGAGTAAAGCTCCTTGTCTAAGGAAACAACGCGACGGGTGAGGCGTGAACCCTGGAACTCCAGACCTGGAATTTGAGGTGTTAACCGCTCGGCCACACACGCCTCCGGTTTCACATGACGTTACTTCGGCCGTATTGGTGTTCCAAAACAGTATGACGGCGGCCATGTTAGTGAGCCAAGCCTATCCTGTGGGACTTGAACTCTTTTCTGATGTAGACTCTTTCTCTTGTTCCGATAAATTTGCATAACTGATGGCCACCTCTGTACCCGATGTAAACAGTTTAAAAAGGCGCATGGCACACGGACTCCAAAAGCTGTTAAATGTATCTGTTTAAAGCGAACCACTTGTATCTAGATTCGGCGATTTAATAAGCTCCCTTTGTTTTTTGTTGCTACTTTTCAGTGCCCACGCTTCCAGAATGGTTGCAGTCGTTAATCATGTGCTGCTTTGAGGTCGACGACTTTGACATTCAAAGCTCGGCCGTCGGTACGCTTTTGGATCTCGTTAACCTAACGTTATCTGTGGCGGCTGGTCACGCCAATGGACCCAGGCCCTCCGCGCCAGTGGTAGTCATCCCAATGATATCCCAGCAATCTTTGGGGGTCATTGAGAAGTCTGATTTGTACGAGGTACAGTTTGGAATCGTTTAGAATTCGCAAAACGTTTGAGCACACAGATGATATTCGTTTATGCTAAACGAAACATGCATTTGCTTGAAGGTTTTTAATATGGCTGTAATGTAATATGTAATTTTTAGAGCGCTGTAATCAAGATCATAACGCGGAGTCCAGCACCACGCTTGAAGAGAGAGGTGTTCCCCAATCGAGCGTTAGGCGTTTACGAGTTCGCTTTCTGGAGACTAAAAGGGGTTTTTAGTTTTGTCTCTCGGTGGTAAGGCGCCGATCATCTCATCTTTTCAGTTGAGATAAGCAAACCATACATATTAGACGAGCCTCGAGCAGAGTCTGCACCTCTCTTGAAAAAGTACGGAAATCTGCAAGAACACAAAAAATCGCACAGAATCTGAACAAAAGGAAAAAAATCCGAATTTTTTTTCTGTTGTTTCTAAAATTTCTAGACGTAGTATCCCGAGATCGTTTTGCAACCTCATCCAGGTTTCATACTGATCTGAATTGTACTTCATAACCATAAAATCGTCATAGTATGGTAACCATCTAAACATGTTTATTGTATGATTGACAGGTCATAGCAGAAAGTCTTTGGGACCATATTGGAGAGGACACAACCCAGTTTCACCAGAGGATCGTTGAGCTGTTTCTTCAGCTCCACAACTTGACGCCTTCTCCATCACTTTGTGCAAACGTCATTGGCAATTCACTGGTAGATAATAATAAGGTTCGCTATAAGCATTGATTATGTAATGATCCTTTTCTTACAGTCAAACCTCCCAAGCAATTTGTGTTTAGCTTCTGCTTTCTTTGTAGTCACTGTAATCATTGATCTCTTGTGGTTGTAGGAGCTTTGCTTACAAGGACACTGGAAGTTTGCTTTGTTCTGGCATGTGGCGAGGAATGTTGTCATCCAGGATTCTGGTCGATCACCAAGACTCGGAGAATTTCGTACTCTTGACAGGTAAAACTTGTTTTATATTGCAAAAAGACGGCAAATACTGAAAAGGTTCTAGTGTACGTAGTATCTATAACAAATTTACTCAGCTGAAAAATACTAATATGACAAGCAAGGCAGCAGGAGCTGATAATCCGTAGAATAAAGTAGGTTTTCAAGAGATCATCATGACGTAAATAACCCAACAGAGGAGTACAGTACAGCAAGATAGTCATTTTGTCCTCTTTTAGACTCGTCAAAGATTCGATGGTGAATTGAATTCCGTCACTTCTCTACAACTGACGGATCCAAAGAAAGACAAAACCGCTTTCTTGCTGTGCTGTTCTGCTCTCTTTAATGATGTAGTGCATCTTTATGTTCAGTTGCATTAAGTGTTTTTCATCAGCCGTACTGCTTAGTTTGTTACATGGTGCCTTTTCATGCATTAGTGGCCTAAGAGAGCTTTCACTCTGTTACGTGTTGGGACACGTAGATATATTTTTAGCAACTACTATAATTTGCAGTCTGTCTACTTTGAATTGAATATAAATAACGTTGTTGAAAAATAAAGAGGCAGGTTGAGCCAAGAACACCCCTATTTCAGGGCTTATGCTAAGTGGGTAATCACTACTCCTAACCTCTACAAATTTTATTTTTTTTTCAGAGCGCTGTTTATTATGCTTGATAGTCTACAAAATGAAGAGCCAGAAATAAGGTAAGTTGACTAGTTGCATCTCTTGCTCAAGTGAAAAAAAATCCCTATTGTTAGCACAGAAAAAATGTAAGGTTAAGGCACTTCGTTTATTAATGAATTTGCATACTCATCTGTGCGGGCTGTGTTGTTAATGAACCATTTGCGGATAACACCCTTTTGATCTTCATAATTTTTCACATAATCCTTAGTGTCATCCGGTAATTGCTTTTTTATCCTTCATGGGGCAGACCAGTACCTCTTCTGAGAATACTGCTTAATTACTGTAACATGCCTCAAGAACTGAAGCTGAGGTAGTGATGAGAGCACTCGCTTCCCACCATTTTGACCCTAGTCGGGTCAAATCCCCGGGTTGACACCATACGTGGATTGAATCTTTTTTTAGTTCTCACTCTTGAGGGGACCCCAGTAATGTAGGAACTACTGGAATGGTGTTTCCTTATTGGTCGCAGAAAACAGTAACAAATCATTGTCTATCATTATTCCCCATTGTTTCACGGTTAGGTTATCGAACCAATTGGCTTTTACAGTACAGCAGCCATCCATTTTGTCCTCGTTTAGACTCGTCAGAGATTCTATAGTCAATTGAATTCCGTCACTGCTACATCTGATATGGTAAAGGGAAAGTCGCTATTTAGAATTAACTGTTCAAGCCATTTCTTGTTTGATTGATCACAGGTAACCCAGGCTCTGTGATAGTACCACAGTACGGTTCCAGTAAAATTACAGTGTTTGTATGGGGTAAAAATATCATCCTAAAATTTCTAGGAAATACTAAATAAAGATCAGTGAAACTTACTCTGCAGTTAATTGTTGTTGTCCTTACTGCTCCAACGAAGTTTCGTGATAATTTGCAGTAATTTGTTCAAATTCACTCTATCTACAATAATAATATACAAGGTAGGAAACACGAGGTGCCATTTTCGCCGACATGCTCTCATTCAACACAACTTTTTCCACGAAATTCGAACTCCAACGGAAAATAAACATGCCAGGATCGTAGAAATAGGATAGCAGCAGATATAGAAACCAATGACGCTTTCCCAGATAGAGAAACGAATCCCACAAACTTGGACAAACTCGAAGAATATAATCCAAACACACCGAGAATACGCTCGCCGAAGCAGCCGGTCCAGATCAACGCGCGGCCAAGAAAATGAGGCCTGGGCACTGTACAAAAAAAATTCCATCCTGGGAGTCCTGGGGTGACCTTTCTAGGGACCGATACATCATTTGCCCAAGGCCACCCTCCCCTGCTGGAAAAAATACTTGATAGAAGGCAATTGTTCTTCCTAGCCAATCACCATTTGCCAGAGCAAACCCCGCACACGCGCCTGAATTTAAATGGCTAAAAAATAGTAATATAATCAGGAGAGTCTGCGGAGTTACAAAACGTCCCATTTCTTTTACTAAGGAATGCAAATAACAGTAATGAAACTAATGAAATAACAACGCGAAATGCTTACAAGGCGGACTAAAAACAAGGTTGAACAAAAGGTAGATGATGACTGAGATACTGTTGCTGTGAACTCTCGAGCGAAACTATCGTAAATAAACGGTGAAGCTTACAAACTAATGTCAAAAATTATACAGAAAATTGCGACAGAATATGAATTGCGATAACTGAGACGAATGTGAAAGGCACGTGCACTAGTAAACAAAAGAACTAGCGCGATTAACATATTTAGCGATTAATGCGGCAGTAACACGCCGACTTCTTGTCAATACAAGTGAACGCTCTATCGGTTAAATATGTGAATCAGCGTGATACACCTCTCTTTGAATTTGGTCCTGTTGTACAAATGCCTCGGTAAGAGCCAAAATTCACTTATATCTTTTGCTCGTTTTAAGTTTTGTAAATCGTCCTTCGTTGTTCTTTTTCCTTTGCCCTTATAACCTTGCCCTACTGATGTTTGACAAACTTTCTGAGGACCAGCGCCAGGAGCTGAATATAGTTCGAGAGGAAAATAATCTCTTTATAACAGGCCATAGTGATTGGCTAGGAAGAACAATTGTCTTCTATCAAGTATTTTTCCAGCAGGGAGAGTGGCCTTGGGCAAATGATGTATCGGTCCCTGAAAGGTCACCCCAGGACTCCTGAGATGGAATTTTTTTGTACAGTGCCCAGGTTTCATTTTCTTTGGCCGCGCGTTGATCTGGCCTGGCTGCTTTCGGCGAGCGTATTCTCGGTGTGTTTGGATTATATTCTTCGAGTTTGTCCAAGTCTGTGGGATTCGTTTCTATCTGGGAAAGCGTCATTGGTTTCTATATCTGCTGCTATCCTATTTCTACGATCCTGGCATGTTTATTTTCCGTTGGAGTTCGAATTTCGTGAAAAAGTTGTGTTGAATGAGAGCATGTCGGCGAAAATGGCACCTCGTGTTTCCTACCTTTGTATATTATTATTGTAGATAGAGTGAATTTGAACAAATTACTGCAAATTATCACGAAACTTCGTTGAGCAGTAAGGACAACAACAATTAACTGCAGAGTAAGTTTCACTGATCTTTATTTAGTATTTCCTAGAAATTTTAGGATGATATTTTTACCCCATACAAACACTGTAATTTTACTGAACCGTACTGTGGTACTATCACAGAGCCTGGGTTACCTGTGGATTGATTGATTGATATTTATTATTATTTTGTGCGAGGCGCTGAAACTACTAATTTTTTCAAAATTGTGTTTTCCAGGGTAGGGTACTCACACAGCACTGGCTTGCTCACGCCCTACAGCACGGCGATCTGGGACGAATCGTCGACCCGCTTCTTCTTACTTCTTCATCCAATCACTGCACGAGTCTCAATTCACTACCTGTACGCTTTTTGGGGTACCAAAATGTCCACAAAACGTGCTGCAACGCAAGGAACGGAAACGCTGGCTAACAATGTAAAGAATATTAAGAAAGAAAACGGAGTTACAGCGGCTGGTAGACAGAACAACAAAATAGTGATCCGAAAACCCGAGCATTCGTCGGGGAATTCTCGGGGATCAGATGGTAGTAACCAATCTCCGAGTAAGCCGAGCGAACCAGAACATTCGACGGACACTGACGGAGATGGAGCGGAGGCCGACGACGAAAACGAAGAAAACGAGCCTAAGAAAAATGGTGTGTGAATCTCCTATGGCCCGGAATTTTTATTCGTCGTTTTGCTTTATTTAATATCATTGTGTTAGTTCGTAGTATTTTGTTTTAAGCTCGCTCCGTTTTGCCTGGTTTAACGGGTGATGTGGAAACGCGCAAACTTCTCGATTTCTTCCTAACCAATGCCGGTTTATCAGCGTTAACTGGCCGATAATTATCATCTGGGTCTGTGTTTGATACTTGTGCTATGCCCGCTGCCGATAAACCATCACCCAGTGCCCGGCATATTGGGGGAGCGAACGTGGCGCAGTGGTGAGAGCACTCGCCTTCCACCAATGTGACCTGGGTTCAAACCCGTGGAAGCCATATGTGGGTTGAGTTTGTTGTTGGCTCTCTCCGTTGCCACGAGAGGTTTTTCCGGGTACCCGGTTTTCCTCTCCTCGAAAACCAGCATGTCCAAATCCAATTCGAACTGTAAGGGCTGCCGAAGAACCAATTTTTTTGGATGTGCCATCATCATCCATCATCATCATCATCATCCATCATCATCATCATCATCATCATTATTATTATTGTAATTATTATTATATTGATTAATTCAATTCACGCGAGTTCATTGTACTTTTCAGTTGCAGTAAATGGAAAAGGCACTACGCCAAGCAAATCTCCTCCGCAGTCACCACCTCCAAATAGATCTTTTAGTACATCCCTTGGATCAACATAAACTGCTGTACATCTTACGTTACGACTATCAGCTCATTCTGTACGCGTTCAGTACTCTTCAAATCATTCTGTCACGTGCTCCACACCAGTTTGTTTGCGCCTCGTCTTCCACCAGCATCAGTTCATCCAACACTCCCTCACCAGGACAAAATCAAAAGAACTGCTCGTTCGGCATCGGCGGTCCTTACTCGGAAAGGGATTTTATGGTGCGTTATACGAGAGTCCGGTTTCACCTTCCAAGGTAAGTACAGTGCTAGTTGATGCTTTGGCATTGATTCAGTTTTTTGGTGGTTTTTTTTCTCAGCTGAAACTGGTAAGGCAAGCAATGGTCACACGAAACACTTCCGCTGTACCCCCCCAATCCCAATGCCTTACGCTTGAGCACCGTAAGAATCAACAGCTACCACCAGTGTACCAGTGTTCACTATATCCGCTCAGACAGCAAAGGGTATATTGTCGATGAAGCGTGAGAAACAGTTGAAAGCTGCCATCTTCCTAAGTTTTGGCCTTATGATGACATTTCTTTAAAAGGTAGTAGTACTTGGGAATGCTGATGAAGCATAATTAGGCCAATATACTTGTTCATGGGTAGCATTGGCTGTCTGTCTGATCACCCTTATTTTTGGGCCAATCTGAGGTCCGCAACACCAAGAAGGATTTTCTGGAGACTGTAGACCCTAGAATGTTCACTCGTGATATTTGGTTTGTTTTCAGGGCCTCTCACAGTGCACGACTCTTTGGTGGCCCTTTTGTTTATCTGAAACCAAGCACTAGCAAGTACCCAAAGTACTTATTTCCGTGAGTTTGTACTTCATCAGGAGCGAATATTCCAGTCACCTGAATGTACAGGTTGATGATGTTGATGGTAATATACAGGTGCAAATAGCTAGCGCCGAGATGTTGCATAATATTATGTGGCAGGTGGTGGAAGTAGTCAAAGAGAGCGGAGCCGGTTTCGGAACGTACATCAGTGACATGTTTTCGCGTTGTAAAGTCCAAAAGGCCTTGCTTCATTGTCTATTGTCTATACTGTACGGAAGAACTGGGGTTAGAGGTACCGGTTTCGTTAAATCTCCGCCGCCAAATTTCAAGCCCAGTCAGCTATACGTCAGTTCGGAAATCAGCAAATCACAGGCTCGAGCTCTTCAGGTGAAACTCCTCAAACTGTTACAAGCCATTCTTATTCTTGAGTCCAATATTCGCACCGCTGTTGCTATTTCCCAAGACAATCCAGGTGGGCACGGGACGCCGCCTACGAGCAAACCCGAAAGCCCAGCGAAGGCTGCCGACGAATTGAAAGTAACGCGGTCGTCCCATCGATATATCCCGGGAAGTCTTTGGCAGAACAAGGCGTACTATTGTCAGCGGTTCTACACGGCCTCAGACATGATGAAAGTGATATGCATTATGAGTGGCTGCAGTTTGTGGTGACGTGTTTGTCACACATGGGCTTGGTGTTACGCGCGTGGTGGTGCCTGTTGCTGAGCAAATCAGTCGGATTCTTGAGGGATTGACGACTGTGTATTGTAACGACAAGGGGATGAGGTTTACCAGGAAAGACACCAACGATGAGTCGGGGAATAAGGTACACAAGATTTCTAGTATTTTTATAGCGTGTAGGTTATGCAAGATATGACACTTTGAGAAGCATGTGAAAACGGCTGTTTTGGTCCTCCGTAAATTTCACCTTTGCCTAACCTGTATGCTATGCAAAAAATATCTATGTAGGCGAAAAAATGGCGATCATTAGTATGCGACTGTAAACGCAAACATTTTTGAGATGTTGAAAGAAATGATGACGATGCTTCAAACGGGCGCGCGCCATGTTGGGTCTTCCAAATCATTTTTGACAAAACACAGTACGGTTTCTCCTTCAGTGAAACAAACACAAAAAGCCGCAACAATCTAAAACAAACAAATTACGTGTCAAATCGGTCCTCTAAATTCTAAGGAACCCACGGACGCTTTTTGTTGTCAATTGATTTATCAGTCTTGTTTTTCATGTTACCATGTCCCTCCTGATAGTGAACCTCACTCCCATGTTCGACTCACAATGGAGGCATCAGGAATGACTCTTAACGATCTGCCCGGGCGTTGTGCCTTTTTGTGGCTCTTTTCGTCAATTTATGTCATGACACGTAAAAAGAACTCCAAGTAAATTCCGTTGTGGAGTCCAAATTTAGAGTGTGTAGAGAAATGTAATTATGATTCAAGTTTCTTCCACAGGCGAACTGAGACAGGGAGTTCCAACGTACCCCGGACTATGTCATTACCTTATTGGAAGGTCTCCAGTCCATATGCCACTACTGTTTGCGTGACAATACGACTCCCTCATCTCCAGTCCTCTCACTGAAGCCTCGGATCGGTCGATCCAACTCTAGCCTGTCCGTGAATACTGAAGCAGTTCAGTCGAGTGCAAGCTCTGTGCAGATCTTCACCAATTTGCTGCACGCATTTTCAGTAGTCCTTCTTCAGCCTCCGATGTGCCTAGCGTGGAGGCACCAAGGCCATCTTGGACGCGCGGAAGGTTTACTGAGCATTTTGCCCAAGATACCTCCTCACTTTTTTTCGGTATGGAGCACTTGGAGCCCACAAAGAGCCGATCTGTCTGGCCAGCGGTTACCCCTCTGAATCGCCGCTAAACTTGATGGGGTCTCCAAAGGTTTGCTTTAGTTTTCTTTTTTCCGTAGTAAAGTTGGGTTACATGTTTTGAGAGATAAGAGAAGTCATTTTATACAGCAAACACCCGCGAATAAGAACCTACTTTTTTGAAGTCTGGCAAAATAGGTTCTTTTATTTTGGGGTACTTATTGGCAAATTAGAAGTAGGTTCTTAATTTTTATAGAAGACATAATAGATTGTTTTTACCAGAAATGTAAATATACTTGGGTTAATCCCTTTAAAAATACAGTATTTATTAGTAATTGTACTGTTATAACCCCAAAACCTGATCATGAAATTTCTATACAGTTTAATGCAGTCTGGTCTTGTTTTTAAAAAAATTTGCAATCTCAAAGTTACATTTTGGTTAAATTGTGTATCACAATTTAATTGTAACCAACTGTACATATAAGAACCTGTTTGATCTTCATTTGGCGAAACAGGTTCTTGCATTTGGGTATTAAAGTGGCCATTTTCGCCAGGCGGTTCTTAATCCACTGTGTTCTCATTCGCGGGTGTTTATCATATTTTAAAGTGACACTGTACCTGATAATTATATATACATCTTTATATTTGTGTTTATCATCTGCCCTTTTTAAGTTTTGCCCCCGTAGAGAGCGCCGAAAGGTTAACAAAGTTTGCATCGTTATGATCAGATCCCCGCAAGAAATTCATATTTTAGCTGCAAAAATGTTCTTCTATTGGGGAAATAAAATTCGGCCAAGTTTTCTAAAGCTCCTCCTCTCACCTCTTCATTGTGAATCTGATAAGTTATGTTGCGCACGAGTTAAATGTCTACTAAAGGCCAAAGTCCGGGAGCTGTTGGTACTTTAAGGCCCTGTATGCCTATATTGGATATGAAGTGACCTCATCAATTGACGTTCCTGAAGCAAATCAAGGAATTGCTTTCACAGTCACCGCGGCGAATGTGATTTCATTTCTAACACAAATATCTTCAAACTCATCATTCATTTAAGAGACAAAGGAAATGCGCCGACGAGTGTTAGGATATCCGAAGTAAAACGTGTCGTCATTGGATGCTTAATTACACCTTTAATATCATTCCTTTTTAGCAGTCATATCAAACGCACGACACTGTTTTATGTTATTTATCTGATCAAACACCTTGATGTTCGTCGAAAACACTCACGTAGCGCAATACGTAACCGAACGAAGTACAATTGAT